TTCTAATCCATCTCTCCACCAATTTTCACCTAAACCAGTACAACCGTTCTTGAGTTATAAATAGCACGAGTTTCTTTTATATATAAAGATTCTAAAATATCTGATGCAACGTTTCACTTTAAGGTAACTGTCAAATGGAAGTAATTAGGATGCTAGAAATAAAAGTATAGACTATAGATACTAACTTAGAAAGCCAATTCCATTGCTTATTAGTTGGTTTAAAAAGTAGAATTAAAAATTACTTGCTGATTGGGTCATCCGTGTGTCACACGTCGTAAGAAATCAGCCCTCTGCCATTTCTCAGCTGCAATTTTTAAGTGATTTCTCTTATTACCGAGCACGGACATAAAAAAACATCAAATCTGAAAATCCTCAAGGAAAGCGCAACATTCAAAAGCAATGCATTGTAAAGGGGAACTCAAGCCGCACTGAATAAAATTCGATTTAGTGATTGGTTTAAGAGACTTTTTATACCTGAAAATATATTGTCGAAAGTTCTAAACAATATTGTAATAGTCGGGAAGGAATTATTAAGAATATATTGATTTGAATCCCAACGAAAATTGTCGCTATCATATACACAAACAATAAACTATTTGATAAGAAAAAAATAACACACCAAACATAATCTTGATATCAATTGTGTTTATTTTTCGCACTATCGTATCGAAAAGAATCAGATATCCGTATTATATAAATATAAAATTTCATTTAAATAAATGTATTAATTTAGAATGTTAATAAAATGGGCAATATAAGAAAGTGTGTATAGCAAAATTAATGTAATATTAGCAAATGAAAAAGGACTAGTATTTACAAACACATGTACGTAATTAATGGCTTTAATATTTAATCATTACTATAATATATCAGTATTAAATAAATAAAAAAGAAACATATATATTTCATTTAAAATAACAAATAAACATTATCAGTATATATTTTTCGGATGTAGTGTGTTGAAGTAAATAAGAGGAATCATGTGCACCTTCAGATTTATGGGGTATCATTTGATGGGTCATCAATTTCGCCCTGACGACCATGGGGTATGAACAACAATAAACCATTCAACGTGTTGTACAATATGTGTTATATTTTAAACATATTTTTTAAATAAATACGAAATTTAATATGATTAAATTAAGATTAAATTTTCTATAATATAAACAAAACTGTTTGTTTAACCTTTAAAAAATGTCCAATGCTTTGTTAGCTCGCTCTTAGAATAAGTAACACTAGAGTATATTATTTTGCCTTCAAAATCTGTTCTATATAATCGATTCCATATATGGCAATAAGTGTTGGACTTAGTATTCTTTTAACTGAAATCTAACTTTGACTGAACGTAAACAGTTTACGAAATGAGACTTAAAAGTGTCTTATCTTCGAGAACAATACTCTAACTTTTATATATCGGCGCTACCAGCTTTAATAACGGATGCGACATGAAAATAATTTGAGGCTGTCATCAACTCTTATTAAACCTCATTAGTATTCATGGTTATTGTTACAAGTAAAACGAAATCAAAGATTGCTTAAAAGGAGAATAGAACTATGTTTAAATCTTGTTATAAATATGACGTCTGGACGCACGACGGCAGACTCCAGAATTGAGAATTCAGAGTTCAGTGAGTGCGTATCATTGAAGTATGTGATTATGAAAAACATTCTAGATATACAGGAGCATTAAGAACAATTGCAGTTTCATTTTAAAATATCATGCAACGCTCTAGAAGAAGTGACATTTGTAACGTCAGCGAGGCTGGCGTCCCTCTCTTTAAAAAACAACAAATGTGTAATAAATCCGATATATATATTATACATCAATCTAAAAGAATCCAATTACTAATGTAACACATCAAAATAAATTCTGTATCAGCTAGTTTAGAAGATTTTAATATTGAAATACTTTATATTCTTTGTGGCTTTTAAAGGCCAAATAATGTTAGTGGAATGCCATAAAGGGAACCAACCGTCAGTGAAACAGAAACGGTATAAAAAAATATTAAAACAACTCAAACAATTCCATTTATTGTTCTCGAGTTTGAGAAAGATATTTCATATTTATTCTGAACATTCAAGTTTAACATTTTCTACGAAAACTACACGTACTACAAGTGTTCGTCAGCTTAATACATAAACGTATCCAGTATTCCCTTTATAAAAGCATGTTGAAACTATAATATGCGAGTATTCTTCAAGGAATAACGCTAAACGATCCGTTTGTTGACAATTCAAACTTGTGGTAAGGATACAAATTCTTACATATATACTATTTTAGTAGTAGATTTGTCTTCCAAAACGTCTGTATATAAAAATTTGGCGAGTGTATGAAATGTAGATACATTATATGTAAATGAAGTAGTTCTGACATATGCATTTATAAAAGCCAAAACATGACTCAAAGTTTGTAGACTGGACATATTATATATTGTAAAGTGAGAGTTATATTCCCTAACATTTACTTTATACTTCATAAATTTTTATCAAGAAAAACCTCGATATAAATATAAAAAATTGTATTACCTTATAAAAATTTAAATTACCTAGACGTTACATATAGTGCGTACATATAACAAAATCTGATTTAAAATAATAATAAATTCAAAATTATTGTAATGAAAATAAAATATTTTTTTATTTACTGCCTTACTCATACTAGTTTTTCAAAAGGATCTTTAAATATCACAATAACAAAGGCATAAATCTGTGAGGTAAATGTATGTGTGTTAGTCGTATTACGTATAAACTGCAAAACGCATTCTGAAACAACATAACTGTATTTCTTCTAAATAATGTATAGACATACTTTTATAATTAATCAATATTTTCTTTCCCAGACAGAACAAGACACACAATCATTAAACAGTTTTGATAAACGCGAAGTATTTCAAACTAAAATACATAATATTATATACTATTCGAAATATAATTAATATAAATAGAGTGAACATCAATCCTGATTACAGCCCAATTAGAAACGCAGTCTCTGTTAATTTGTGTTTGCATCTCCCATGAAATCAACATGTATTCCACTCCGGCACTCATCACCAGATAAATGAATACGGAATATGAATAATAAATCATACATGTTTGACATTTCATATACATACATATAAACATACATACATATATATGTATATGACATGATAATACAAAGAATCTTATCTTTTGTAAATAAAATAACAGTACTTTAGATGTTTAAGTGAATGAGTTCTCATTGCGTAACATGTAATTAATTTTTTTTTTATGTTTTCTGTCTTTATAAAACCATGATCCTAAATAACTATTATAGTAATATCTTTAATAATTATCCTAGTGGAGTTCAAGCTACGTCTTTTTCTCAATTAAAAGGTCCAACACCCTCCCATTAGCCACCATTTATCACTTATTGCGAGTTATTACAAAGTTTCTTAGCAAACTAGACGAACCCCTGTTTCCTTTAGTAATTTCTTCGGCAAAGAAAAATATTAAGTTAATAACGATTATTCTTGTAATACCCAAACTACAAAAGCGGTCGAAATATATATTTCATTCACATCTCGTCTGTCCGTGATCACGGTTGCTGAAAAGTAACCGAAACGTCGGGAGTAATGTAGTTTTTTACAAAAATAAATATCAGAAAATGTTAGTTTAATTTAAATGAATACTCGCGAAAGTCTTAAATCTCATTATACATAGATTGTTTAGTAGAAAAAATACAAAGATTTAACATTTCTACAAGAAAAAGATGAAGAATTATATTTAAATATTATAATATATTAAATTTGAATATCCTCTCGAGACAGCCAAAAATTCGTAAACCTTTAAAATGAATCAACGTCAGTAACACGCTAAGTTATAATTGAGAACAATCAAGGAGGCAAGCTGCCTAATTAAACAAGCGTCTCCTTAAACATCCCGACAATGAGGGAGAGATTATACGAATGTGTATTTATACTGATGTTGTATAAAGTAACGAATTTCAAGCAGAAAATGTATACAAATATATTCTGTAATTATTTTTTTCACTGCTTTTTATATGGACGAATTATCCTACGTATTGTTAGCCCGGAGAATTAAAATCACTTTTTAAAAAAAAGATAAACTGGTTTATTTAATAATTATAGGACAACCGCTCATTACAAGATCTAGGAGAAGACTGACTAAATGAAGGGGTTCTAATTAATGTTCTAATGATAAATGCTGACCTGTCTATTATAGAATTGCATTTACGCAATTACACTTACAATCCTAGGTTATAACACCTCCCCCTTTAAGAAGAGGCTTTGGGGTTGATTCCAAAGTCTCGTTTTATATCCTAGTTCTAAGTGGGGCTACTGGACTGGATATTTCAGTATCAATTTCTGTTCTGTCTATAGTTTCCTTAATTTCAGGGGTTGTCAAAGTTACTGCTTGTTTCTTCTTAAAATATTGGAATGGGCGGTTGTTTAGTTTAATACAACAAATCTTAATGGCTAAATATAATATGAAAATAATTATAAATGAAAGTATTATATTAATGAAAATTGAGTACTGTGTCCCATATTCCACAATATGAGGCAATTTCCTCGTTTCGATTTGATGTAAATTATTTAATATAGATTTTAATTTATTTCCAGAGTGGAAATTGTCTAAGTCTATATTGTGTAAACGAATAGGAGACACATTACCGATTACAGAATTTACTCTATTTAAGTTACAACAAGTATCATTAATTAAATTAAAATCTGGCACATGATTAATTGGCGATTTAATCTGTAGAACATTATGTGTAGGTACAAACGTGGCGCTATTACTATATCCAATACAATCTTTTGGGATGTTAAGAATTCCCGTTCCTAAAATATTAGTTTCATATAGTTTTGAATTAATACAATCAATAGACACTTTTTGGGGTTCGGATTGTACATACAACCAATTATTGTTTGTTAATGATTTCCATAGGTTTAGGTTTCCGTATAAGATTTTCGTCTCGCACTGTATCGGTTTTTCACTTATCACTTTAGCTAATAGCTCACTTTCACAAATAGGTTTTGCATCCGTAGAATACACATTCTGGAGGTCACAAATGAAGTTTCCTGTGCCTACAGACTTACACACTCCAAGATCATTAAACACACAATAATGCGATTTGTCTATGGTCATTGCTATATACTTATTTTCAGGGATTATTAAAGTAAATGAATTAGGTTCCTTAGGATTATGTGGCGTCGGAATAGCTATATTATGGAATAATACATATTCTTTCGTGTTAACTAGCGGTACCTCTAAGACAAATACAATCTTATCTCTAATGTAAAAACAAACTGTTTTAGATATACTTAGAATTAAATGTATAGAATCAATATTTAATGCTACAGGTAATTCTAGATCATTAGACAAATGTCTGTAATTATCGACAAGCTCTTGATATAACTGCTTAGGAGTTATAACTGATGGGTGGAGAACATTTTGACTACTAAACATTATGGCGTTAGTGACATCTTCCAGCTGAAAGGACAGAGTAATTATGGCAGTTTCTATAGCGTTAAATACTTCGTTAACATTAATGAGGATCTGCAGACCGTTAGTTAATTCACTAATGTTTTTTATACTTAAAGAGAGCTTGTCAATAGCTACAACGAGATTATTCTCATTTTCTCTAATCTTAAATAAACTATCATTATGTATCTTTAAAGTAGAAGAAGTAACTAGGATATTTTCTTTCATCAACGTGGCTAACCGTTTTTCATCATTTTGTAAAGTCGTAATGGCTTCATTATACCTCATACCATCATTCTCGTCCAATGAACCGAATATGTGTTTCATTGCTGTTCCTATGACACCTATCCAGGCACTGCGCTTGGATCTATTGTCTAGAAGATGGGAAATAGCAGAGAACTCCTTACTCATATCTTGGAATCGTGCCGATATCGGTTGTAATAAATTATGACATTCCTGATCTATTTGTTCAATTCTGGTTTGTTTACAAAGATGTTTCAAGGTTTCTAAGGTAGTTTCAATATTTTTGATGTGTGGTTTAAAATGGGAAATATCTACTGGAATTACAACTTGTAACTGGACATTATTGATTTTCAAATTTCCTAAATAGTCGTAATAAAGGCCTGAACTTGAAGTAATCGGCTGGACGTAGTTCCGCTGGGGTTCTCCCCGTGTAACACTGTAAACAACGGTTGCCAAAACTAAAGTAAGTTACTACTTTATCTTAATACAATGTTTTAGTATAAAATTTACGTTTTAATATTTTATATACCTAACTATACTTATTTTATTTCTTATTACTCTAATCTTATGTTACGAGTTCCGGAGATTCACTTAAAGGAATTGACTGCGGACTACGCGAATTAGTTCCGGTGGTTTCAGCAGGTTTCACCTGATCAAAATGATGCGTTACGTGACGCCTGTTAATGAGAAGGGTAAGCGTGTTGTTACCATTAATTTTAATAACTTTGTAAGGACCTTTCCATACTGGTGAGAGTGCCTTACGCATTCTCAGATGATTTTTCAAATAAACGTAATCTCCTGCCTTATATTTCACAGGGCGACTATGACAGTCATAGTAAGATTTTGACGATTCTTTGGATTTTCTTATGTAATCTAATGCCTTGTCCCTCGAATATTTCAGTCTGCTCTGAAGCATTCGGACATAATCTGGATAAGTGGCTCCGGGTATTTCTTCATATATAGAATTTGGAATAAAAGGTTTGCTACCGAACATAAGTTCGTAAGGTGTATAGTTAGTTGTAGAGTGGACAGAAGTATTGTAAGTTAACATAGCGGTATAGACATAACGAGGCCAATTCGTTTGGTCTTCATCGACAAAGGATCTTAAGTATTCTTTAAGTGTTGAATGGCTTCGTTCCAGAGCACCTTGAGTTTGTGGGTGATAAGGAGTGGACCAGAGATTTTTAATTTTTAGAAGTTTACAAGTTTCTTTAAACAATTCAGAGGTAAAATTAGTTCCCTGGTCAGTGAGAATAGTTTTAGGTATATACCGAATATTGAAATGTAATGAAGCAGACATTCGCTAGTTTCTTCAGCTGTAATGCTTCGTATTGGATAGGCAGATGAAAATTTCGTGAGGTCGTCCTGGACAGTTAATATATATTTGAGCTTCGCCGGACCGGATTCAGGTAAAGGGCCAACAATGTCTAGTGCTATTCTTTGGCATGGTTCGGTTGAGGTGCTAGTTATTTGCATAGGTGCGCGGTTAATTTGTCTAAGAGATTTATTGAGTTGACATTGAGGACATTTCTTAACAAAATTCTCGACATCGCTGCGCATGTTTTTCCAATTGAATATTTCTTGAATTCTTTTAAGCATTCGACTACTACCAAGGTGACCGGCGATTGGAATATCGTGATTTTCTTTTAATATCTTGGGAATTTCTGAAGGAGTGGGGTAAATTATTTTATCTTTATAAATATGAATGGTTATACCGGATTTATCGAAAAGGAAGAGAATCATATTATATATCTTGATGAATTGATGTGTATCAAAGGGATTTTTAAATTCTGTTATTGCTATTTCAATGTTTGAGTCGCTGTTTTCATTTATGACTAATTCGTTTCGGAGATTCCTCAGACTGTTATAAATATCAACATATGAACATTTGTCGAAATGGTAAACTTTGGTGAAAAGGAAGTAATATTTCTTGCCGGCGTGCTCAAATGATATAAATGAGTTTAACGTTCTTTCTTTATTTATGATTTCGGAGTTGTCAGGTATATTGTCTAGAACGTATTGAACAAAGGGGTTGGATTCATCGAGGTCTATGGAAGTGGGTAAGATAATTATTTTACTTTTTGATTTGCGAATATCTTCATTATGTTCTATGATTTTTGTATTAAATGTTGCATTATTACCTGCAATTATTTTCAAGAATGCGGGATAGTCATCATCAGGTAGGTTTAGATTAAGAGAATCGTCTGTAGGAGGACCGGGCTCTACGATGAGGTTAGGTGTATTTTGACTTTCAGTTCTAACAGGCTCACCTTGATCTTGGGAGGTTATGATTAAGTCATCGGGATTAAAATCATTAGGTGGTACTAATAGATCTATGGGATCTTTTGAAGGAGGGTCAGTTGGTAGAGTAGGTTCTATGATAGGGTCAGACGACTGTGCCAATTCGGCGGTGTCATATTCACAGGGATCCTGAATATCTGCAGTTAACTCGTCAGGGTTGAAAGAAGGTGGTGATACGAGTAGGTCCATGAGATCTTCGTCTAATTCAGAGGCATTTTCAGGTTGAATTGGATTTACTGGGAACCGAGATAGAGCATCGGCGTTCGTGTTGATTTTCCCTTTTTTATATTTGATATCGTATTCGAACTCCTCCAATTTCAAACGCCAACGGATCAACCGGGAACCTGGATCTTTGCATTTAAATAACCATTCAAGTGGTTTATGGTCAGTTAGTACAGTAAAACGATGTCCGTAGAGGTAAGGTCTAAAAACTTTAGTGCCAAAGATCACAGCGAGGCACTCTTTTTCAGTGACACTGTAATTGCATTCGGCCCGATTAAGAGTACGAGAGGCGAAAGCGATTGGACGGTCCTGGCCTATTTGTCCTTGAGATAGAATAGCCGATATGGCAAAGTTGGAAGCATCACAAGTAAGAAGAAACGGTTGTGTGAAGTCAGGGTATGCCAAAATTGGAGCCGAAACGAGTTTTTCCTTAAGAGTTTCGAATGCTAATTGTTGTGTGTTCTCCCATGTAAAAGGAGTATCTTTTTTGAGAAGATTAGTTAGAGGTTTGGCTAACTTAGAGAAATCCTGAATGAAACGTCTATAATATGATACAAGGCCCAAAAATGATTTAATATCTCTAGGAGACTTGGGTGTAGGGAAGTCTGTGACGGCCTTGACCTTGTCTGGGTTAGGTTGTACCCCATTTTGACCGATAATATGCCCTAAGTAAGTGACTTCTTTCCTGAGAAATTCACATTTCTCGGGTTGAAGTTTTAGATTGAAGTTGTGAATTCTTTCAAAGACGGATCTTAGGTTTTCAATGTGAGTGGCCAGATCAAAAGAATAAACTACGATATCGTCGAGGTACACGAAGCACCTAGTACCTTGGAGACCTGTTAGGCAATTATTCATTAATTTTTGGAAGGTTGAAGGTGCATTTTTGAGCCCGAAAGGCATGCGATTAAACTGGTAATGACCCTGAGGCACGGAGAAAGCGGTTTTGGGTGCATCGTCTTGAGAAATTAAGATTTGATGAAAACCAGAAGCGAGATCTAATGTACTGAAATATTTGCTTCTTCCAAGTTGATCAAGAATTTCGGAAATTTGAGGAATCGGATATGTTTCACCGATTGTAATATCGTTTAATTTACGGTAATCTATGACAATGCGCCATTTACGATTGCCTTGTGAGTCTGCCTTTTTCGGTACCACCCAAATCGGCGAGCTCCAGGGTGAAGAAGAAGGTTCAATTATATTTTCGTCAAGCATTTTGTTAATTTGTGTTTCTACCTCCTTCTTGTGACATTCTGGGAATCTGTATGATTTAGTATGAATGGGAGTGTCGTTACTAGTTTTAATACTATGTTTCAGAGCAGATGTATAGGTAAGTTGGTCATCAGGTAAATGGAAGATATCTGAAAATTGAGAACAAAGTTCTACAAGGGCGTTTTTCTCCTCATTATTTAAATGTTCTACTCTTAAAGAATTAACGACTTCAGCGGTTCTTTTGAACGTTTCCGGGTTAGGCGTATAAGGCGTTACTGGGTATGATGACTGATGTATAGGCTCTACATGAAGAACGAGGCTTGTTTTGATATTTACAAAACGCTCTGATGTGTTAGCTACTGTGATGTTAACGCATTTGTTGTCTTTAATTTTGACGATACAATTGGAAATGAGGATGTCTTTGGAAATATGTTGGTCTAGAATTACTCCTTCTTTTAGATCGGTTTCTTGGACAGCGCATTCTATTACGGCTTCGGTTCGGGGTGGAATGACAAAGAATGGTTCAGAGAACAATAATTTGACTTCTTGTTTGCCTATCTTTAGAATATCGTGAGTGTAATCTATTTTACATCCGAATTTAGTTAGAAAATCTGTACCGATGATTCCATTATAAGGTAAGTTAATATCGCGGACTACGTGAAATTTATGAGAAAGATATTTATTATTTCCTAGTTTTAGTTTTAGTTGGAAATGCCCTATAGTAGGAGTTGGCTCGTCACTAGGGTCTATACCCTTGAGTTTGATAGGTTCTTTAATTAGTTTTTGATTAGATCGGATACTTGATTCTTTTATGAGGCAAATGGCGGAGCCCGAATCGACTAGCAGAGATAGAGGAATATCTGAGGCTTGAGACTCTAGCAGGACATGCGGTAAAAGCCGTTTCGTAGTATCAATATGAACTTCATACACCTCTTTGGAATGATTGAGAGTTTGGGGTTGATTACCCTGTTTAGAACTCTTAGAGTGAGCGAGAGTTTGGGGCTGGTTACCCTGTTCGTGGCTCAGTGAATTAGAGAGGGTGCGAGTTTGGGACTGGTTACCCTGTTCATGACCCTTAGGATGAGCGAGAGTTTGGGGCTGGTTACCCTGTTCGTGGCTCAGTGAATTAGAGAGGGTGCGAGTTTGGGACTGGTTACCCTGTTCATGACCCTTAGGATGAGCGAGAGTTTGGGGCTGGTTACCCTGTTCGTGGCTCAGTGAATTAGAGAGGGTGCGAGTTTGGGGCTGGTTACCCTGTTTATGACCCTTAGAATTAAATTCGGTGCCTATCACATTAATTTGTCTCGATCGGCACCGGGGCGAGACTTTTACGCGTTTAAATTATCCTGAGATTGTTCTACCTCATCGACTTCATCATAGCCTACTTCCTTTTGAGGCAGTTCAACAAAATTGACGCGCGGGGAATTTTGAAACCCTTGAGCTCTGGCGTTATTATACTCGCGCCTCTTACAAGTGGAAATTTCGTGGCCTTTCATTTTGCAATAACGACAGAAAAGGTTTGAATCATTATTGTTATATGGCTTCCTTGGGGGTGTATTAAATGGAGCTCTCTGAAGAGGAGCCGAGTTAGAATTTGGTCGTACTGACTGAATGTGAGAAGAATTTGAGCTTGGCCCCGGGTTAGCCCTAAATCTATTATGATTGTTGGACCTTTGTTCGACCTGTGGTCGCCTATAAAGGGTTTGTTGGATTCTCTCCTCCGAAATGGCGAAATTGATTGCTTCATTTAATGTTCTTGGTGTTTTGCATCTGACAATATTGGAAATGCGGGGTTGAAGTCCCATGACAAAATGATGGAGGGCGAGGTCTTCCATGGCCGCTGTGCGCCCAGGAAGCTCCTTTAGTTTAGAAGTGGAAAGTGAAATTTCAGTGAGTAGCTGTGAAAGGTATGTTTCCATCTTTAGCGCGTATTGGTTAACATTCTCCTGCGGACCTTGTCTGCTCTCCTGAAGCTCCATCAAGAGATGAGAGTAATGTTTTCTTTCACTGAACTGGGTCTTAAGGAACTCCTTAAGTTGCTCCCAGTTTGTAAAATCTTTTATCGAACAAGCAACTTCTGCCTTGCCGTTCAATTGTGAAAGTATAAACTTGAATAGAATGGGCCTCTGACTATCGGAAGCGAGTTCAAATGCATTATCGCAATTTACTATAAATGAGTTAAGAGTTTCTCTGTTGCCGTCATAGGATTTGATGAATTTAAACAAGATGTTTAGGTCTAACTCAGCCATGGCGATGTTAGCGGCAGTCCGCCTTGTAACGCGGGGTGATGTTACAGGTGATTTAGCAGAAATATCACTAGGTACTTGATCTAGGTCAGGAATATCTAAGTTAAGTTTGCCGTCCTCTGATTTAGGCACTTTTGGCATAATTTAGGTTTAAAACAAATTTATAAAAACTGTTTTGAAATTACAAATCACACTAATATATATATATGCATGCATGAACTCACAATTAAAAGATTATATTATTAAGTATTGTAAAAGGAACCCTAATTCATTGAACAAAACAATGGCCAAAGACTTACTGCATTAACACGTGCACGACTGATAAGAGCACGACGACTCTCGGATTGCACATTTCTGGAATATGATCTTCAAGAATGTAGATGCACGTCGAACTGACTCGGTGAGGTATATCTCTGTTATACGTTTAATCCCGGGATTCTCACTGGATGCAAGCAGGATAATCGAAGTTTCGGTGATTTGACGACTTATGATATCGCCGTAGGTCTCCCTTGTAGGAGCGTGAATCCTTTTTAAGGATATAATGTTGATAATTTGTAGATTTGTAGGATACGATTATACAATTGAGTCTTTTGAGCGGAGTTATGCACTGGGGAATTTCGTATCCCACCGCTGCCACCAAAATGTTAGCCCGGAGAATTAAAATCACTTTTTAAAAAAAAGATAAACTGGTTTATTTAATAATTATAGGACAACCGCTCATTACAAGATCTAGGAGAAGACTGACTAAATGAAGGGGTTCTAATTAATGTTCTAATGATAAATGCTGACCTGTCTATTATAGAATTGCATTTACGCAATTACACTTACAATCCTAGGTTATAACAGTATACAGTATAGAAGAATGATTCAATTTAATAGCCTATTGTTTTTGTCACTTGAAAACTAGCAAATTAATTTGTACTATATATATTTTGATTTCAGACACTGGCTAAAGCTAGGAAATTGCCAGGAAGAAGAAGTTATTTTGATAGATGTAACTAAATTCAAACAATTTTATGTCCGATAAACCATATTAAAAAGTACACCATGTAAGAAAATCGAAAGATTTGACAAAATTATATGAAAAAACATATATCTTTATACATATATATAATTCTTCTGTGAGTGTGTATGTCACTGAACTTCTCTCAAACGACTGGACCGATTTTGATGAAATTTTTTGTGTGTGTACAAGGGGATCTGGGAATGGTTTAGAATCACAATTTTGTCCGCTGGACAATTTTTTTTTAATTAATTTTTAATTTATTAGTAGTTGTTGATACAAACTTTTTTTTTGACATTAGATTTGACAACTAACTAATATGTCAATCATTCTGTCGCACTTCAAAACACGGAGATTTATGGCTTTAATAGGTAAACTCCAAAAATATAAATAAAAAAACGTAACAGATATTTCTTGATTAAAGTTCGCCGGGTCTTCTAGTTATATATAAATACATAAATTATATTAAATAATACCAATATACAGGGTGACTGGTGAATTACTATCGATATTTGAGGACGTGATATTTGACGATCATATATGACGAAATAAAAATTAATATAACATAAATATTAATAAACTTCTAAGTAAAGTTAACCAAAAGTTGTGTAATTAATTACGCATCGTATGAACACCCTACAGATTACTCTACACTACACACTCACACATACGCGTGCGGCGGCGTGTTGTTGTATCAGCACGCCGCCGCACGCGTCCACACTAGGAACACTTGGAACGTGTAAACACTTTATTTATTTATAGGGAAATTTGGTCAAAAATTAAGTGCCTATTTTTTTTACATAATTCGAATGAGAATCATGTACCGAGTATGCTCCTTAAATATTGATAGTAATTCACCAGTCACCCTGTATATGGCAGAAGTCAGTTCAGTCAGCTAAGTCAGCTAACGTCCAACCTCATCCAGCGAGGGTAGTCCCCTCTAGATTTATTAATCCGTCTCCTTAACACGTTTTAACTGGGCAAATTGAAAAATTATGTGCCGACGTCTTGATCCCCTCCGATGAGAAACTGTGTAAGATAAATAGTTTGTTATAAAAACACGCGCGGACCAATTACTTTTATTAATGAACGTTCTTGTTGCAGCTTTTTTTCATATATTGTTTGAACCGTTAGAATATAAACAAATATTAGTTATTGTGAGTTGTTGATATATATATATTTTTAATCGAAACAATATGTTAGTGATGTCTAATAGTTTTTTTTAGTCAGAATGAAAATCGTTAATAACTACATTTTTATTCTTCCAAAAATAAGTCTTTTTACTTATAGAATATAATTGTTTTAGTAGAATTGTGGTTGATTTAATCATAAACGTTACACATAAAAAATATATAAATACAAGCAATTGATAACATCAACGTATATAATCTTTATTTTTTAATTATTTATTTATATCTTCGCGTTTCACTTATAATTCCGCTTATTACGTGAGGGAAAATATCTAACGGACGGACAAATAAACAACAAAGCTATATATAAAATATAAAAGAAAGATTTTCTTTTGATCCTTGGAAAAGATTGAAACGAAGAATCAAAAGCATTATTGCCAACAATAACATAATGAGGCAACATCAATAAGAACATTTAAAGTAGATTATTATTGAGAGTTAGTAAATGCAATTTAAAGTTTGATACATTATATATACAATGTATTGAACTAACAAAAAACATTTACATATTAACGTAAAATACAATTAAATTATTAAATAATCCATACTTATTCGTAGCGTAAGTTTTCATGTCAGATTATATTCGACGTATTTCCCATTTCTTGTTCAATACTACTTTAATACGATAATGTTTAGAGATTTATGAATGACAAACTGTTAACGCTGAGTATGTAGTGTGACGATATGAACTGGAAGTAAGAAATGTATCAAGTGGATAGATAAAATTTTTCATTAAATATTCCTATCTTCTTCTTCTACCTGGCAATTTCCCAGCTACACAGGGTCTGCCTTACATGTTGTGAATAGTTTTGGCTAATTGTTTTTACGACCGGCCGCCTGCCTGACATCAACCCTCTTTTGGGAATCAGAATTAATCAGTGATGTCTAAATAATCTTAGAAAGTACATATGATTCGTAAAAATCACATTGGTACTTGCCCGGGCCAGGATCGAACCCGCGCCCTTGTGTATGAGAGGCGGGCCTTTTAACCACCAGGCCATCACTGACTGACAATATTTCTATATGATGTTTAATTTAAATATAATGTTACAAGAAAAATACAGAGTTATAAAAATATTATTATGTATGTATATAAGTGTATCTATAAAGTTTATTATAAACTATTAAGGAAGGCAGCTGGGGTAAAGCAAGTACCTTCTGATAAATTTACTACAGGTTTGTAGACTCAGCACTCAAGTAGACCGATATTAACAATTTCCTCAAAATCACTGTCTTTTATCGTTTCGTCAAAATCATCCCAATATATATGACAATAAGGGCGATAAAGGCGTGAGGGTGCGAACGCATATTAAATTGACCACCTTTTGTATTTTTTCGGCTTTTGGATGACTATTGTGCGTTCTTCTATTAAATTTTTCAGCGAGCCTTTTTCAATCTTGTTTATAACGTTTATATGAATTGATTTTTAATATTTATGTTTATAGAAAAATGAGTTTACGTGAATCATTTTCAATAGAAAACAATTTTATTTTAGAAGATTTGTAAATAAACGATATAACTACAGTTATATAAACACAACGCATAATAAAAAGATACAATACAGTGACTTCTTTCTCAGCAAAGGCTTGGTATAAAGAAATTATTGAAATCTATCGAGATTTATAAAGATGACAGTTTATTAATGGTACTATTATAGCAAAAATGAAATGGGTTTATTAACAAAATCAGTTTATAAATAAGTAAGACGGACTACCAAATTAAATAAATACTGCACTCCACTTTATAATTTGTATATTTTTTTTTGTGGACGCGATAACATTATCAAAACAATATTTTTTCATTAAAACCTTTTACTGTGTCCCTCCTATTTATATAATCATTCTATATTACAATGTACCTGATCAATCTGACCAAAATAACCCTTAAAATGGACACCAAATATTAGGGTTAAAACCAAAAACGTCACTTATAAAGGATTTTGGCCACCATCATTTGTTTGAAGTCCCTTTAGAATGGTCACCAACGACACCTGGCTGTTCCGAAGGGTATTCAGCAATGCTATCCAATGTCTGAGTGATTGAGGGGTTATTAAAATCAATCTATACCACCCGCTATGGACACATCATGGAGTATTACCGGATCAATGGAATATTAATTGCTTTTAAAGAGTCGGATTATCTCAATAATTGGAATTGGGGGAATGTGATACGTAAGCTATCTAACATTCATGAATAACTTTAATGACAATTCATATATTGGATACAGTTAAATAGAATTAAACAAAAATATTAATGCTTAATTTATTTTCTTTTAAATGAAATAATACTTAAATATGTAAGAGTCATCATCATCAGCCTATCAGAGCCCACTGCTGAGCAAAGGCCTCTTCTCACATGAAGAAGGTTTGAGCATTAATCACCACGCTTGCTCAAGACGGGATGGAGATTTCAAACTTACAATATGAAAAGTCCAAGTTTCCTCACGATGCTTTCCTTCATCTGTCAGTGATGTCTAAATACTCTTAGAAAGTACATATGACTCAGAAAAATCACATTAGTACTTGCCATGTTTCGAACCCGCGCCCTCGTGCACGAAAGGCAGACCTTTAATCTCTATGTAAAAGTATCGGACAAAAATTTCTAATAAAAATAATAATTTTTGAGCAAATCCTTCTTTGCTTTAAAAGAACTTAGATGAAAAGCCCCGCTAGCTTTGATGTTACTTGTTCACAATCAAACAACGTATAGAAATGTCAAAACAAATCAATTAATATCGACCTCACTGATGTATTGCCGTGATATTAATCGCAAAGCGTGGTTTCACGCTCGGATTGACCAAAATAAAAGCCTCATGTAAACGGAACGAGCGGTAATGAAAGCCTTTTTTCGTATTTTTCATGTAAATTTCGTATAGATACGCCTTTTTTTGTTTTTTCGTAAAAATAAATCTCATATCTACAGTAATATAATTTCGTCAAAAGTCATTTTATTATTACAATTGTATATCTAACTGTACATGAATGATAATGATTCTTAATTCGTATAGGATTAAAGAAACCAATAAAATGTTCTTATCATAGAATATGTAATTTCTGAATAATCAGTGTTAAAAAACTACACTAATGTACTAAAATTCCTCTTTTACTTATATGGAAAGTTCATATTATAGATAAAAAAATATAAATTCATTTTATTCACGTAATATTTTTAATATATTCATCCGAAACACTGTTACAAGTCCGGTCATAATCACAGACATCTGTCACTTGGCCAGGGCATGTCGCTTCGTCACTGACAAATAAACAAACAACTTATTAAACAGTTTCAAACTTTTATATAAAAACAAAATCTTGATTTCCCTCTCCTTTTATAAAACCTAACGTAGTAGGACTAGGTCTAGGACTTGCTTCTTTCTATTTGCCAACCAAACCACCAGCCCTTGCTATCAATACAGTGTACCGGTAGAAAAAATCCCTACTAATATTATAAATGCGAAAGTAACTCTGTCTGTCTGTCTGTCTGTCTGTCTGTCTGCTACGCTTTCACGCCTAAACCACTGAACTGATTTTAATGAAATTCGGTACAGAGATAGAGTTGACTTTGAGAAAGAACATAGGATAGTTTTTATCCCAGACTTTTGAAAGGTTCTCTTGGAAACGCGATATAACCGAACTCCACGCGGCGAAGCTGCGGGCGGAAAGCTAGTGATGAAATAAAAATATTAAAACACGCACCCATCGAAAGCCCTCATTAAACATCGACATGTACAAGGACACGTTTTGCAATCTATGCGTAATCCTTGCTTTGACCATCAGGTGACGAGGGAAGCTTCACACTTTCGACTTAAGCCTTAAATCAGGCTTCATTTTTATACCCCTATAACGAGTTTTATTTGTGAATAACTTCACTTGTTATTCCTTGCTGTTTCACATAACGAAATAAATAATAATATTAAAATATAGTCCATAATTATAGTGGCAACATTATAAACAACTACTCTATATAGTATATGCTCTTTGTAATAAATGTAATTTACAATAGATATTTGTTAAACCGCTATTGTAATAATCTTTACATTATTATAGAACAATCGAGCAATAACGACATGTTCTTAATATATATATCTTGTTAAAATACGTATTCCGTTATAACGCAGTAATTGCCACTCGGCGTCAACCAGCTGATCCCCAATTATATGGTTCAGTATGAAAAACACATATTGATCAACACGTCACCGGGACGCCATCTTGAATCTTATTCATTATTATACGAGGCTTATTTTAAATTTTTTCTGCTGACAACACATAGCAAAATCTATGTACAAACGTTACTTGTATAGGCAATACTATTTCTGACAGATGTCATTATATATAAATAATAATAAATAAAATTATAATCAATCTGGATACTAGAACTAGCAAGCGAAAAAATTTAATAGAGACATTGTGGTTTTATATTTCAAGAAGTTGTGATATTTTTTATTGAGAAAAAACGTCAAATTAAAATCATACTTTATTTACAAATGATGGTACAAATAATCTCGCTCAAAGTAATTCGCAACTCAACAATCATACAAAGAACACCTGTGTTACTATTAAGGGATGTTTTGAAGGGTGTAGTGTCAGCTAAATATTTGATTGATCTATAATACCTATATATTGTTATAAGATCTGTGTGTACGTACGTACATAACATAGAGATGCCTTGTGCTATTGATATTCTTGTGGCTTGATACATGGCAAGGCAAGTACTTTCAAAGGAAAGAAAGCTGTACCGAGACATTCTGATTACAAAGGCTAAGACGATCGGTTGTTGCCATTTCGATCACACAAAGCCAGCTCAAAGACTTTGTTGCATATGACTCGCGTGAGTTCTTGGGTATAAACAAATGTTGAGGACCTTAAAGCGACATATGCCTTTTGTTGACGTTAAAGTATTATGGATAATTTTGTGTTTGATTTTCCTCGTCCAAAACCCATTCGATTGCCATAAAGATTATATAATATTTAGACCTTTCCAATGTGTATATAGTAAAGAGTCTTGCTTCAAATAACATATGAGATACAATCAAACAATCGTTCCACACAAGTTTAAGTGTCTATATAATTGTGCGTTCAATTTGCGTGTCCAATTTACAGCTGAGACCTTTATACGCTCTTCATCTTCTTGCCCTTCGTATGTCGTATAGCATTCGGAGATGTGATTAATATAAGTCATTTTAATAAATTTGAAATACTAAATAAAACATTTCATTATAATAATTTTCAAATATAAAGTTAAAATGTAATTGTAAAATCCGCGATGAATGAAAATATTGCTATGAAATTTCATATTCAATTTGCCACCTGTGCTCCAACGATTTGGCCGCGTGTAATAATTTTTATTGCGTTACCTACCATTCCTGTACAGATTTTCATTTTACAAAACATATAGTATTGAAAGCAGGATTAAAAATTACAAAAAAATATACACGAATATAACAGAGTTGTTAACATTGGAATGAAAATTGTATTTTGCTCGGATTTATTCAAATGAGGGAGACTAGATATCATTAATGTTATGACACACCGTCACGGAATCTAGACTTGGAGTGTGACAGAAGAGGTCTCGATGTACATCGATGTAACGCCAGTGTAGAACCAAAACAGAGATCAAAGAGACAATGCGGGAGGGTGAATTTGTCTAGGTGATTGTCTGAACTAGATATATTGATGCTGGAAACGAAATACATTATTGATATATAAAAAATATAATTCCACTTTTAAGTAGACAAAGAAACATTAATATTTTCATTACAAAGAAACTAATATTTTCGGATTTTACTTCGCGTTTTATTTTTGATTAGAAACTACATATATACTCCCGACGTTTCGGCTACTTTCCAGCATCCCTGATCAGGGTAGTGTATCTGAAACTAGTTGTATATCCGAAAATATTAGTTTCATTTAAATGAATAAAACTCGCGAAAGTCTTAAATTTCATTATATAAACGTATACACTAAAACACGATTGCATTGCTTTCTATTACTTTTAAATTTAAATAATATCTTCAATTATATTGAATTTAAGGGTTCTATAGATCATTATAAAGCCAGTTTTTGAAGTCTCATCCAGTTTTTTATATCAGTTTCTCTAATAAGTGTGGTGAGCGATGCCGCGCACGTCATTACTCCACAAAGAGCGATGCGCCGAATACTTTGTAACAAATGTTTATCGGCTTTTTATCTTTCACCTCCAACTATATCCTTTCCGAGCCGTTGTATGTCTATGAATGATTGTAAAATTTTTGAATTCGACAAACCTTAAAATTAGTTACAACTGAAATGATAAACTGTTATCTATTTTAGTGAAAGAAATTGTCTCGTTTGCCGCAGTACATTTAGTGTTTAGGTCCAATGTATGTACATATTTATATATAAGTGAATCAATAAATTCTCATTTGATACTAGTACTAATGTTTAAATAATACTTTTGATATTTCAAAACTCAAATGAAATTTTTTATTTCTTTCAATAAGAAGGATTCTAATATACTCAGTACAAATAACCTAAATTTTCAACCAGTACTTTCATGACTTAAACCTGTAAAATATATAATACAAATTCTTTATATTGTATCCCGACGAATCCATTAAAAATAATTCTATATATAAAGACGTTTCCGATAACAGTACAATCAATTCTATAAATACAAGATATTTTTCATAACTGATGGATATTTCTGAGTCAATTCGTTCCAGGAATAGCTGGAATAATATTAGTGTAGATAATGGCAATGTTACCTCTGGGGCGTGTTACAAATAAGTTCTATACAACAGATGTGGAGGAACACACCTTGTACAAAATAAACAGACATCTGCGGATAATAATATACATACAAAAAAATATAACAAAAAAACTATATGTAATGAAATTAAATCTGAATATAATAAAGTTTCTTACTTCAACAGCAAATTTTGTTACAAGTTGTTGTTAGAGGTGCTTTTGTTCGGCTTCGGATGCATTATATTTACATATACGTAGAATAAAATATATTGCGGTAATTATAGAAAGGTTTTAATTACAAAACAGTAATACTGAGATTATTTTTCTTACTAACATATACATTTTAATTAAAGAGTATGTCTAAAGAATATTTTTTGCTATATTAATACTGAGATTATTTTTTTCTTATTATTTCTTCAAGGTCATACAATAGTTAAAAGTTTGAGATGAATGCTCATTGCTTGTCGCGATATCTAAAGATAGAACCAACAAATGATCGTTCTGCATCAATTTGTCTGGGAGTCGTTAAAATCACGTTTCCCCTTATTAATTTTTACTCCCCAGGCACGCGGGCACAGGAAACACGTTGTTATAGTCAAATTTACGATATTGATAGATGTTCCATCGATTTTAGGGTACCGTATGCGGTGGAGTAAACCTGTCGCAAATTGTGGTAATTGAAATCCAACGGTATAACGGGGATTTGTTGAAAAGTGTGATCATTTGTATTGAAATGACGGTGTTGGGAAATTCAGAAAAACGCTACATTTGATTCCTTTGATTCTCTAGTATATAATTGGTCCGTTAGTGAGTAAATGTGTGTCTTCTTTGATGTAGCTATCATTAACTTTAATACGTTTTTAAAATGTTCTGTAATTTTAATTCTGTTGGCAAGTGTTTAGAGATGGTATAATGATTTGTTGACTACGAAATATTAATAGCATTCTAGTCGCACTTTTAAATAAAATAATTTCAAAATCCTATTTATTACGAGAAAACCAAAATAAAGAAATGTATAATAGATATACTTAAAACTAAGATATTGTTATAATATAATAATGAAATTTACTTCAATTGAAATAGATATTAATATAAAAAATAAAATAAAGAATTGTCTGTGCTATAATTATTATTTGCCATTATTTTTAAGATTTATTAGATAAAAATCATTAGATTTATTTATATATTTTTACATTAAAATTTCAAGTACTCTTAATAATTCATTTCACCTAAATAATAATTTCTTTTTAAACGTAAAAAAGGGTGTCTCAAACCAAGCTATCAAAGTATGTATATATTTCATATAAGGCTACATTATCGACATTCCATTTCATAAGTTTAAAGTAAACATAACGGTGATCACTCATACTACATATAAATCAAGCCTCAACTCGATTTACACAGCCTGTATATTTCTTTCGAGATTTTTACACCCTCTCACACCTTTTACCCCAACCATGGGATTTTTTATATTATTTCTTGCTCCTTTTTTACAAACTTTATATTAAAAAAAATTAAAATAATTCATATCAATACAAAAAATATATTTTTTATAATTCTTTATGTAATTTTGTAAATATAATCTATATTTCAGTATATATTTCCTAAATCTAGAACCCGTAGTAATACTTGTAGTTATTTTCCCCCATCACAACATCCGACATTTGAAATTCATTCTTTAACGTGTGATGTAATAAAAATAGCGTTGGATAGGTAGCGCTGATGATAAATTATGCACCCCTCGATTTAAAGATCGCGCTGCATTAGATCCCCTTTCTGATACATTTTTTAAGGCAAATTAAAGCCAAATGTTTATGAATGATTATAATTATTCTATTAAGCAATTGAAATTTTATTATTTAATTACTTTATTTATACGCGATTAAAAATATAATATGTATTTAACTAATTTAATGAGGAAATACACAACTGATTGCACAAGTCTCTCTGGCGATGAGGTTTTTATTTGCGGGCACAAAATCCCCAACAGACAATCCACTTCATATTAAATTACTGCCGCTATCTATTGTGAATTTTGGACTTTTATTTGGATGTAAAAATGACAAAAAAATGTTTTAGAAGCGTTGAAAACAGGGGATGTTAAAATATCAAACGGTTAAAAAAAAGGATTCTAACCAAAAAAAATCTTTTTAAAAAGATTACATCCAAAATATGACGAAAAATGTAAACCTATACATAGGTTTAACCGGATCAAATAATAAGGTTAAGTTAAACTAAATATAATAAACTTAGACCATAAATTCATGAATAGGAGTAAGCCAGATTAAAATTCATAATAGGTTTGTATAATGTTAAATAATAATTGAATCACAAAGACCACCAGGATGTTTTGTACCCACAGACGTTTGCTGAATCACCTCAACCTAATAGAGTGTGAATTATCCCTCCATGACTTTCCTTTCTTCGCTAATGTTCTGATTTCCTTTAAATCGGATAAGTGAATCAGGATTCCTAGATTGGGGAAACTAAAGAGAAATTAATTGCGCCCACCAGATGATAATTTATTTTTCTCCTCCCCTACTTGTAATGCTTGATTTACTAGTTATTTCATTAATTTATTTGCAAATATCAACATTTCCAAAAAGAAACATGAGAATATATAGAATATAATTCGTAAATATAATGTAATCTGTCATTATATTCTACAAAAGAGTTAAAATAATAAAATCTTAGTGCTGTTTTTTTCAATGTCTTTAATTATGAATCATAATAGTTTGATTTTCTTAAATTATAAGATAAATAAAATTATTATTTTCAACCAACCCAAACGTCTTCGCTGTGTCAATCGATATTTGTCGCTAAGTTTTTCATACATACAATAAATTTCCAAATGATATCAGAACGCAAAAGATAATGACGTCGTTACAAAGTCTCTGTTGTGGAAACTCAGGGTTGAGTTGAATAATAACGTAGAGCCTGCTAGTTTTGTCTGTGATGGAGTCTGGCTAATTTACTGTGAACCTCGCCTTTGTCGTGGCCGACTGATCATTTAGATGGAAAATTTTGATATTCTTATTCTGAAGTCTCTGAATGGGTGTTTTAAGTAGCTCAATAAGTGCTAATGTGTTTTATAGAACGTTTCTTTGGATAAAGTAATATTTTTATTTGGGAATTAAAGAATGTAAAAACGAGTCTTCACAAAACATCTTCACATGGTAACAAGAAATAAACAATGATTTCACTAACTAAGAAATAAATATATGATTTCAAGTAATTTTTGTTCAAACCGGAATTGAATTTTTTTAACAGACAAAATTGTCTCGACAAAAAGACCTAGGAATAAGATTTAACTGCAATTACAAATTTAACATAAAGATATATATCACGAATTCATAATTACAAATTGAAGTACCATTATATAGTGGTTTATCAAGGAAGTTGTATATCTATTGACCTTTTATATTGACACTTAAAATTACTACCATTACCAGTACTAACGACAAACTAAATAAGGCCAAGCGCCGTATGAATTTGAAACAATAGCTAGACATAAAATATAGCAGTATTAGGAATTAATCGTGACTTCGGGGAGTTGCACAATCAATAGCTATTGGAAAATTTTACTTAAATTATAAATGCACGACCGATTTGTTCCCTTGTATGTAACTCAAGCTTTAATACTCTGAGAATTTCTATAAAATTTTTGATAGTATTTCTTTTCAATAGATAATATATAATGAATTTAAATATATATGAGTAATATTTTTATATATATTTTTTGTATGAAAGTATCTATTAAGAAAAAATGTGTGAAATAATTTGCTTTTAACGTAGGTAGGTCGTTTAAAGGTCAAATAATTCTCTAAAGAATTTTCTGAAGCAACTTTCTGTAGATAATTAATTGAAGCCCTGCCTCTCCAATTTCATTTCTATTTTGTTATTAATACAAAAAATTAGGCTTTTAACGAGAAATTAGGAAATTACCAATAACATAATTTAATTTACTATCGAGGAAAACACATATTTATTTAATATATTTAATACATTATAAATATTACTTTCAATTAATAATGTAATCTCATAAAGCCCAGAATATTGAATATTTAAAGCTCTTTCACTAAGATGTTACAAAAATAATTTGTTTATATTATAAATATCCTGTTAATATTATAAAATCAGAAGTTTCCACAAATTGTGGATGTAAGGATATTTGTTGATCTTTCACGCAAAAAAATTCTGAACTCTCATATCTATTCATTTTTCACCATTTATTCATTCCACATTGAGCCTCATTTCCGAAGACTTCAATAATTAATTGGATATAGTTGAAAATTTAACTCTACATTTATAATATTTTACATCAAGTCAATCATTTGAAAACATAGATATCAAACATCTTCATGTAATATTTTGAGACATATAAACAGACAAATCCATAGTATATTTCTATATTTTCGTCTGCGGTACCCATAAGTATTATTGTAATGATGTCATAGTAACGTAATTAATAATCGATATGACCCAGCAATAACAAGTTTCACATGTTCGTATTTATTTAGAGATCATCCCTTGAGATATTGTTGTGTGCTCTACGTCTTATATATACCATTAATCCATAATTATTAACAAAAATCAGTAGCTATATACTTTGAATGAATCCCACAGTGACTTAATTTGGTGTACAGTTTGTATTGTTTAGTTATATGAGAAAATTGTCTTTGATTCTCTAATAAAAATCCGCAATTACTTAGGTGTCAATTCAATAGTATAGTCGAATTCCCTTAAATAAATTATGATTTTTATTTTTGGAATATATACGTTATATGTAATTTATATGGATATATATTTTTGTCCATCGAACAAACTAATGAGATCTAAGGTTTTTTCAATTTTTATTCATTTAAATGATACTAATATTTTTCGGATATACTACATGGTTCATTTTTTGTGAAAAACTACATACTCCCGACGTTTCGGCTACTTTTCATCAACCGTGATCACGGGCAGACGAGATGTGAATGTCTGTCAGTTGGTCTTGTTGTTTATAATCTACCACCATCGATTTCTTAACATCACACTTTCTCAAAATCACTTATTTATTTTCACATAAAACTATTTTAATTAACATTAATAATTCAGACGGTACTGGAAACTAAATGACAAAGAATGTGGCGTTGTTTAAAATGTACAGTGAAATAGAATTAAATGTAGAATTAAAAAAGATACTCACAGCATTGAGGGCTTCCATCTCGTATGGACTTAGCTTGTAGGAAGCATCGCTACCCACCAGACGGAGAGATGACCTGTACGTAAAGATACACATTATATAATAATAATAGAAATAGAAATATAAATAGTATGGAATATACATAGAATAGAATAGATTGAATATAAATTTATTCTGTTACGAGTATGAGATTTAATGTTTAAACTATATTGATAAGGGAAACTATGTATATATTGATAAGAGAAAATATGAATTATATGAAAAAAAAATTAATTGCATATAGCATAGAATTTTTTGAATATCAGATCTCTTTTTATTGATGTTTTGTAATATAAATATGATTTATAATATTCATCCGAATTATTTGTACCATTTTTTTTTATTGAATCGAACAACGCGTATAGAATTTCGAGATGACTCAGTTTTTATCTTTACATTGTTTTATTCGAATAACAGAAAAATAAATAAAAAAGTATAATAATACACAATATTCGTTTAAAAGGTTATTATGATATCTATACATATGTTATGATATATACAGTTGCTGCAGCGAAACAGAAACGTTGGAATTATTTAGTTTAAAATAATAAAAAACTTCAACTTATGTTCTTCATGGGTGGATCGTATTAATACAATCAAAATTTCACACCACAATTAAGTACGTCTTATATACTAATATCATTCAATGGTCACCCTGATACAATAAAATATTTAGCAAACAATAGCTAATTTTCAATCTGTATCAATACATATATCTTTATAAAGAATTAATCTTTACCTCTTAAGAGATTCACAAACAACCTATTAATGAGTTACTTTAATTATAAATTTATAGTAGTTTTCATGTTCTCTATTTTATTAAAGAAACTGATAATATCGCATAATATGAAAACGTGGGTTAATAAGTCGGTCATATATGTACTACGAGTATTTGTCTTGCTCGACGTTTCAACTAATTTTCAGTCAAGCAAGGTAAATAATACTTTATAACATTAAACCCTGGGTTTTTTATGTTTTTCTATATTAAATAACAGGAGGACAAGGGTTATAAGTTCTTGTTGTCAATCCATTCCATTAATTCCATTCCAGTATTATTAAAAAAAAAAAACGATGTTATCCTTTTTCCGTTTTTAATTTAAAACCTACAAGCATATAATCTTTTATATCCGTAATATCATTAGGCTTAAAATTCGCAATGAGCGGAGTATAATTAGTTCTATTTAATACATAGTAAAAATAAAGATATTATATATATATGTATATACATATATTATATACTATATGTTATGGTAGTATATATAGAAGCAACATGGTAGGTTTTAATTCAGTACACGCTATTAATACCTAGCAGGTACAACAAACACGTTCATTTCCTGAGAGAGAACAAATTACAACGACTTACTCACTTGCACCTTCCGACTTTTTATATATAATAATTATATTGATTAATGACAAAGTATTTAATGTATGATACCAATCATATACAGGGTGACTGGTGAATTACTATCAATATTTAAGGAGAATACTCGGTACATGATTCTCATTCGAATTATGTAAAAAAAAATAGGCACTTAATTTTTGACAAAATTTCCGTATAAATAAGTAAAGTGTTGACACGTTCCAAATGTTCAAGTGTGGACGCGTGCGGCGGCGTGCTGATACAACACTACGTCACGACACGCATATGTGTGAGTGTGTGTGTATACCTAATCTGTAGGGTGTTCACACGATGCGTAATTAATTACATAACTTTTGGTTAGCTTTACTTAGAAGTTTATTAATATTTATGTTATATTAATTTTTATTTTGTCATATATGATCGTCAAATATCACGTCCTCAAATATCGATAGTAATTCACCAGTCACCCTGTATATGTATATATGTATATGTATCCTTCATATGGAATAGTTTGCTAGCATATTTTAATTTCAAAGTATGTATATCTAGAATAAGCCCTACATATGACTGTTAAAGGTATATGTAGTTTTATTTGAATAAAATGATTTGGAATTGTTTTTACGAATCCAGTTTTAAAGATGAATATCTCAAAACATACCCTGGATCTTAAAAAGACTTTTAACAATAGAAAAAACTAGTTATAATGAGCTGATTTATTTATTTACACTATATTTTCTTGTTTTATAATAAAAAAATAGTTCCTATTAGTGTAAACCTTTACAACAGCGTAATAAAGCCTTGAAATGTAAGCTGTAACTTATTAAGTGACACGTAAATCTTGGTGCATATTCCTAGCTTGCTGTTCGAGTCCTAACAGCTAGAACAGCTATGATTCATAATTAAACACGGTATTTACGATCAGTAAGTAATTTGAGGCAATAAGACCTGTTACCGTACAATAACGACGTTAGTTCGAAGCCACTTGAGTTTTACCTTCAACTTCCTACGGATACTACAACTGAAACTCATTGTAGACTCGAAAGCATCGAAGATTAATTATTTACAATAACAGGAGAAGATAAGAGAATGAAAAGAAAACGCTTAAGATTGTTTAAACCCAAGTTTTTGTGTTAACTTGAAGATTCATTCATTTGCATCCATTTAATCATTTATTTTGAAATTAAATATGAATGAATAAAAAACATAGCTAAACAGTTCAACCACAAAATAAACATATATATCATATTACTAGAATATTATTAATTACGGACTCGGAAGAAATATTACATACCTCTAAAACTTAAGCTACAAAACGAAAACAAATTAAGTAAATATATATCTACAAAGACTTTTGTAACCTTAGCTATCGCCCATACTATTTTTGAACCTGTTTTCCTTAAGACACATACATAATAATTAATCTATATACTTTTATTTATATTATCTCTATTTCGAGTTGTATTTCTCAGCCGATGGTAGCTCAGTATGGTCACAGGGGGCCGTCGGCCGGAGGCTGTCTGCTCGTATTAATATTCCAGCCCGCGTGTAAGATGACATCGCTGTAGCCAATTGCTTCACGTACCATGCATGTGTATAAATATGTTATGTATCCTTAAGGATCTTTATTAAGACGAATTTTACTAAAGTGTGGCTTGCTGTTGAATTCATAGTTCGTGTATTACTATTTCTGGATTACACTTAAATTGGTTCGATCCTGGCAAATACCAATGTGATTTTTCCGAGTCATATGTACTTTCTAAAAGTATTTAGACATCACTGATTAATGCATTCCCAAAAAGGGTTGATGTCAAGCAGGTCAAAAACAATGAGCTAAAACTATTCACAACGTGTAAGGCAGATCCTGGCTAAAGCTGGGAAATTTGCCAGGTAGAAGATAAGAAGAAGATGACAAAATATTAGTTGCAGTACCTATATAAAGCCTATTTAGTATTTTTTTAACTTATATTTGTCAATCTTCGCATCTTATAATGAGATAAGATTTTCGTGAGTATTCATTTAAATAAAACGATTTTTATAATAAAATTCACGTAGTACATCCGAGAAATATTAGTATCTTCGCTTCTTGTTTTATATTTTGTCTTAAATTGCTTATATAATATTATAATTTGTGCGCAAATAAATTTCAAATAGATTAGAAATGATATACAATGATTGATATTAAAGACGAACATTCACGAATTTACCTTCACAATATCAGAGTGACTTGAAGGTCACGTCGCGGTACTAAAGTTAATACATAGTTCTGCTTTAAATCGGAACTAAGTACGAGTATGTTTCCTTTACTAAATACCAACAGTTTCGACGAAAACTGGTCAAAAATCTAAGTTCATATTACGGTTATTTATATCGTACTTTGTTAATTCTAATAGACGATCTTTTAGAATTGAATTATTTTTTTATTTAATCATTCTCAGTAAAATAAATTTGAGTGCACTGTATAGTTAATTAAAACAAATAATCTTCTTCATATATATGGACCATTATTTATCTCATATATAAATAAAATAAATCTTACTTTTCATAGCTAACGAAACGTGTGTAAATAAATAATGTTTTGTTAGTCAGCTCTCAAACTCGGTCGTGGCTTGCCATTTAATAGACAATACTCACGACATATTACGAGTATACATACTTTCTTTCAAAACAAAGAGGAACTGTTACGAAACTGTTTATAACGTTTCAAATAAATAAATACTTTAAATTATATGCAATAAGATTTTAAATGTATTGGACGAAAAAATCTTTTCAAAATCAAATCACACGCCGGCTTTAATACATTAATTGTGTGCTGCGATTTGTTTAAAAAATATTCTTTTATTAATACCTCAAGTAAAACACAAACGCTACTCACTATACTTAGATTATTCTTCAATTCAGAACCTCAATATTTCTTACTTATTTCAACTGAACTTTAATCATATACCACAAGATTTTATCGTATATTTTCCATACAAAGTTATCAAGTTAAATCTAATTATTAGCTAATCTTCGTCGTCTGTGGCACCTTTGAACCTTTCTGAAGATTCTCACGTCACACACACATACATACATACACACACACACACACACACACACACACACACACACAATAACTAACTAACTAAATAATGTTACTTACTGAATCTACTATAGCTTTCATTATAGTTAAATTTTCTCTCACAATAATCCTCAGTTTTTTTAACTACTACAGTATTACTTTAGTTGTACTATGTATAGATATAATCAAAATTAGTTATAATATTCAATATAATAGTTAGGACAGGTAAAGTGGTTTGTAAGTATATATTTAGCACCCGGCAATGCGTGTTTCAAACGTTGCAATTGAATTCTCACCGAACATTCATGATTGCTCTCATTTAATAAAATTATCCTCTATTTCCTTGTAACTAATGCTATTTAACCGACAATACAATTATTACTACACGTTTACAGTATTACGGTTAGCTAGATTTTTGCGGCGGTTTCGCTTGTTTTCCAGCACAGACTGCTATTATATCATTTACTTAGATCAAGGCGTATGAAGTTCCACATTGTTGTAGGTATTTCGTGATTCTCTCGAGATATTTAAATCAGATACTTTTTATCCAAGCCATTAATACATTGGGTAAATTATTTATTGAGTACAATATAATCATTACCCTTGATTAATCAATCTA